GGATCTTCTTTCAGATACCAAGTTTATATATTGTTATATTGTTATATTACGATTAATATTTGTAAACTGAAAAAAAAAAAAAAAAAAAAAAAAATGTCGCGAGATTCTAGTAGATTATAGATAAAATAGAGTTTATATATATATATATATATATATATATATATATATATATATATATATATATATATATATATATATATATATATATATATATATATATATATATATATATATATATATATGTATAGATATAAATATATATATATATATATATATATAAATATATATATATTTATATATATATATATATATATATATATATACATACATATATATATATATATATATATATATATATATATATATATATATATATATATATATACATATATATATATATATATATATATATATATATATATATATATATATATATATTTATATATATATATATATATATATATATATATATATATATATATATATATATATATATATATATATATATATATATATATATATATATATATAAATATATATATATATATATATATATATATATATATATATATATATATATATATATATATATATATATATATATATATATATATATATATGTATATATATATATATATATATATATATATATATATATATATATATATATATATATATATATATATATATATATATATATATATATGTATATATATATATATATATATATATATATATATATATATATATATATATGTATATGTATATATATATGTATGTATGTATGTATGTATGTAAGCATAATCTACTAAAAGCTCGCGACAATCTGAAGGATGGAGTACATCATGGCTATGCCATAGACATGATATACTCTGATTTTGCAAAAGCTTTTGATAATGTGCTATATAAAAAAATTCTGCATAAACTATAAGCTTATTATTTGTTCGGCTCCATGTTCATGTTGATATCAAACTCTGTTCATGTGGATATCAAAACAGAAGAAAATAATGCACATTTCTAGACATTGATAACGCTGAAGAATGGTTCAAAATGTGGCTATTATTAATCAACTTGCACAAATGTAAATGAAGGTACGTAGGTAGCTCCAACAAGTCAGCCTACCTTTACCGATCAGATGGGAATAAGACAAAAATTGGATACGAGTTCAGTGGAACGAGACCTAGGTGTTCTTATTTCAGAACACTTAAAAGTCAAACATCAAGTTGAAGCAGCGGCTGCAAGAGCAAACCAATTACTTGATCAGCTTAAAAAATCCGTCAGAAGCCGAGTTCTCACCATTTGGAAAGTCCTTCACAACTTGACCACAACTTGATTTCGCCATCCAATCGCGGTCGCCAAATCTAAAAGGAGACATCAAGGCTTCGAAAGCAATTAAAAACTTGCGACAAAACTAATCACAGACATCAAACATAAATCATATGAAAAAAGACTTATGGTTCTAGGACTAACCAAATTAAAATATAGGCGAGTTAGAAATGATTTAAATCAGCAATCTAAGATTGCACATGATGTTGAGAAAATCGAATTTGTTGTGCCTCAAGTCTAACACAAACGCTTACCTAGTATAACCTTTGTGGCAATATCTTAAGACTTGCTAAGCCGATAGTCAAGAACTGTGTCAAAAGTTCTACATAAATCGCATAGTCAACGTATGAAATGCTTTACCACCAAACGTTGTTAACACTTTTTTAACCGACGCAATCAAAAGTTGATTTGACGCATTAACAGTATAAGTATAGACACTTCGTGTGTGCGGTATTTGTCAGGTGCTGCACCTCTTCATCGATATATCATAAACATTTTATTCTTTATGGAATAAAATTATCATAAATATTAATCATTTCTGTATAAACAAATTAAATTAAATATAGTATAATTATTCCACAAGAGGTTGGCAAAAAGTAATTTAATACAAGGCTTTCCCATAAAAAAATTCTCATAAAAAAATGCCAACCCTGTGCATAAGATTAACTATGAAACTATTAAAAAAATATAATTTCAGTAGTAATATTACTATATTTCACTATATTTAAGCAAAAAACATTTATAGTACATTTTTGAAGTACTGTTTTCCACATTGAGACGTCCGGTGCGAGACTGACATTTAGGGCGCTTTTCCCCTCCTCTTCTTCCCTCACAAAAAAAGTTAAAGTTCAAACTAATTTCCATTTTTATTAAGCTTTAATGAAAAGTTTGTTTTGATGTTTTTTAAAAGTCATTTTAGACTTATTTTTCTAACCTTCACAAATTTGAAATCTTTAATAGCATCATAACTAAGTGAGTTTGTCAGTGTTGATTTAATTGAGATGATAGACAAATTTAATAATCTGACATGGCTCATTGAAAGTCTTAATTAGTTTTTTGTTAGTTTTAACTAAAACTTCTTTCACAAGATGCATCTGTCACTGGTTAAGATAAAAATATCTTCAGACAGATTTCAATATTTGGGTTAGCGGCTTTCAAAGAAAAATAATGAATAAAAATAGATTAGCTTTTTTTTGTTATCCATTTAAGATTCTGCTTGAAGTTCTAAATGGTCCACTTCTGACTTTAACTTATTTTCATCCACATCTTTGAGGTAGAATTTTGCAAGATTCATTTTTTTTTTTTAAGTTGATCAACAGAAACACATGATAAAGAAAATCAATTGAAATTTAAGATAGTTATTCGAGGGGGTATTTTAATTGTGTTAGAATGCTATCAAAGACATACGTAAATTGATGCTCAAATTCACTCTCAGGTTGAAGCATGAAACCATTATTGTGCGGTTTATCAAAACTCTTCTCCGTTTTGCATTTCCCAGCGTTTTTTTTTAAGCATTTTTTTTACATTTTATGTATTTTTTGACTGAAGTCAAAAAATACATAAAATGTGCTCTTTGTGAGAAACATCTGAAGTGCTGTCAAAAAGTTGACAGCACTTCAGATGTTTCTGACATTGAGTAATATTTGGCCTCCTTCATTCTGAAAATAGTTTGTTTTCTGACTTCTTTAACGATTAGAGAAACCAGCTCATTATGAATTTTTTGAGAAAAGTATGATTTTGATAGTTTCTTTGATTTAATTGTAGCCTTATTTTCACTTATTTCATAGGGTAGGATTATTATGGCTCGTTAATTCCACAGTGTTTAAAAATGATAAAATTTGGTTTTCAATTTACATCATTACTTCCTCTCAAAGCAGCATTATTCTTTGCACAGAATAATAGTGCATCAACTGCCACCTTTAAAATGTTTCTCCATTTCTCCACTAATTGCTTTTTGACGGTCGCAATCAACAGTTTTTCATTCAATTAGGACATTTTCAAGATCATTTTACTGTAAATAGAACTTTTGCTGTTCCGCAACGAAAGTTCTATTTACATTATATTTGAATACTCAGGAAACATTGGATTTTTTTCCTAGACACTTGGGACTGAAACTGATATCAAATAAGTTACTTTATTTTATTTTTTTTTTTTTATTTATTTTTACTTTTTTGATTTCAGAGTTTGTAATATCCACCACATTTTCACCTATTTAAATGAACTCCAGTTTTTTCTCAACTTTTGCATCATTCATTTTTTCTTTAAATTCGTTGGTTAATTTAGTTTAGAGTGTTGAGAGATTGGAATTGAGTCGAACATTTGAATTATAAACATTGTTGCTGTATGTTCCCATCTGTATAAAAAGATTTAATGAGGCAGGAAAAAGCGTTTAATGCGTTTTGTGAATCCAGATTGTTATAAAGATCTCTATCCTTGTTTTTTGTTTTCGAAATGCTGCGTCAAATGGCATTTTTAAAAAAATTATATAAAAATTCAAATTTTCAGTAGATATATATATATATATATATATATATATATATATATATATATATATATATATATATATGTATATGTAGATAGATATATATGTAGATAGATATAGATAAATATATACAGTTCGTATAAAAATTATAACCCTACCTACCTATCTTTTCTGACCCTTTTAGCAGATTTATCTGCACATCCAAAAGCATATCTCAATACTGATATCAAGTCTTTAGGTGTTTAGTACACAAACATGAATGTATAATATACATAAATATATTAGACATATATGTAGATGTATATTATTATACTCAAAGATAGTCTTCATTAAACTCCATGTAAATCTCCTAATATAAAACAATGGGCGAATTAAATACTGTGACAGGCTATTTTTACAAAATAATTACTTGCATTGCACAGTTTTAATTTACTTTACTTGCATTGCACAGTTTTTGAAAAGGCTTTTTAGTTTTTTAAATTTAAAAAATTTGTTATGAAGAATCAAGGACAACTTTATCCGAGTCAACTAAAATTAACTTAAGTTTTAAAATTATTACGAACTGCAAATCTCTCTATAATCTATAAAATGGAAAATATAAAATATATATATGTGAATAATATATATGCTATTAACTTTATTAAGTTTTTTCTGCCTTACTCTACGTCATTATGGTCAAATTTGCCCGGCCTATACATTATCCAGTAAATTATATATCTATGCTTTAACCAAAATAGAAAGCTAGTTTTTTTTTGACAATATTTGTAAGCGTTAGACTGTTAGTTATGTATATTATCTTATTCATTCCTAAATTTGCAATAACTTTCTCACTTTATCATTTAATTTAATATTAAATTGATAACTTTGTTATATTATTATTAAATATCTAACTAATAACAAAGTGGTTATATTTTATATTATATCTTTTTACCGACAACGAAGTGTTTTAAATTTTTTTTAGTTGTTATAAAAATTTCAGTTACTTGCTAGAACATTTAGGGCTTTTTATTTTCTTAAGTTCTAGACAGTTTTTAACTTTTAAGTTTTTACTCTGTCTGAGAGTTACCTGTCTTAAGCATCACATCCTTATTACCTTTGTTCTTGATAATAAAATAAATAGAGTTAACAAAAAATAAGTTAATATTTTTTGATATGATTTATTTAATAAATGACAATTGAATTATAAATTTAGGTACGATATTATGCTACGCTGTTGGAACGAAGATCCGTCACAGCGACCATCGTTTACAGCGTTACGCGAGTTATTCAATAAAATATTATCAGCAGGTGATTCATATGTTAACTTGAATACCAATGAAGATAATAGTAGTTATACTTTAGGCTCTTCACACAACAGCTTAAATGAAGCAAAAGACCACATAGTGGAAATATGAATATTTCGAAAGCTCGGTTTAGATCTTTATTCTGTCAGTTGACGTAATAAATATAAGTTGGATACAACTTTATACATTTTATTGCCACTTTATTTAAAAATTTTGTATTTGTTTTTACAAGGATTGTATGTGCATGGAATTTCATTCACATTACAAATTAATGTTTATAGTAAATTTAAAACTTTCATTTGACAGTTCTTGTTTTTTAGGAAATCAAAAATTTTTTATGTATTTTATATATTATAATTAAAAAAAAGCCATCATTTTTTAATTTTAATTTCTAATATTGAAATTGTAACATATATCTAACTGTATCTCTTTAACGGATACAGTTAGATATAGGTTACAATTATATAAGAGGTCTTTTATAAACTACGTCACGAATTTTTAATTGTTTCAGATCCCTCCTTTTTCCGCGCTTCCAGTAAAAAATCGTAGCACTCTTTTTTTCTCTTATCCTGCCTTTAAAGTTTTGCAACAACTTGTTGCTCCCCTCATCCTCTCCTTTCATTGTTTTGTTTTTGATAACAAAATATAGAAGGTATGGTAAATGTTTTATAAAATACTTATTGATCCAAATAAAAGCTGAGTGTATCTCTGAGATTTATTTTCAATTGTTCTTATCGCACTACTAATCACGCTTTAGTAATAGCGCCTGATTCAGCTTTAGCTGTGCCAATTGCTAAAGTTTTTAATGAAAGTAAAGTTAGGGTTAACGTATCAATCTAAGATAATTCTTTTTTTCTTCCAGCGTTTTTAGTCTGCCGTCAATTTCGTTGGCTTCTTTATTTTATACTCTTATATCAATAAGCGCAAAAGTTACCTATATTTTTATTAAAGCTTTCTCAATTCTTCAACTAAAAAACTCTTTAAAAACAAGCGTTTAAGATTTACCTTTTTGATTATAAGAAACGGCTTTGGCCACGCTGGTATAGAGTGGAATTTTATCTTTCGCTAAGTTATTATTATTATTTTTTTGATAAAACTTGGGGAAGCGAAAATAATTCCAAACCCAGCATCGTACTCAGCTAATGAAACACCTACTCGTGTATTAAACACATTAAGTATGTTAGGGATTCTTATTTAAAAATACTACATTGCTAGCTAGAAAAAAAGCTTATTGATATAAGAGTATAAAATACAGAAGCCAACGAAATTGACGGCAGACTAAAAACGCTGGAACAAATTCGTCAAATAAAAACAATTTGTCTTAAAGAAAATAATCCATAAAAACTTTTTATTGAAGTCGCTCTGAGGTTGGTTAGGGCTTAGGGCAAATTTTATTTCTGTTACCATTTTCTTAGGAACAGTAATTTTTCCTTTAAAAGTAATCTTTGGAACAGACACTTTCTTAATATTTTAAAACAGCCCTTATATAGTATTTGGGGTCCCTAAACCCTTCGGGTCCTGTGACACTATCGTTTAACTGCCCCCTCCCCCCACCATTTTTCTCTGTATAGTGGCCTTGAGTTTTATTAATTTTATTATTATTAGGAACAGTTTTTACGAAAATTTTTTGAGAGTTTTAAAATGGCTACAGGCCTTTGCTAAAAAGTTAATTTTAAGATGAATACCATTTTTTCTTAACTCGTGGCGTTTTTTAGCATTGTCTACAAAGATAATCAGTTGATCGAATTCTTAGTAGTGTTTCTGTAACTTAATTTTTTTAAAAAGTAAGTATAATAAAAGGAAAATAATTTTTTTGATTGGTGCAGACTTATTAAAAAGTATATATATATATACATATATATATATATATATATATATATATATATATATATATATATATATATATATATATATATATATATATATATATATATATATATATATATATATATATATTTGATTTGTTTATAAATTTAAAAGTCTTTTTTCTTTTTTTTTTTGAGCAATAAAACTTAAAAATTTTTAGAATTTCAAATAGAAGAATCTTTTATCTTGTCATTTCTTACAAGCAACCTTAGCACTCAATTTTTTTTCTAAGGAAAAAACACAGTTTGGCTATAGCTATAGCCAAAATGAGAATGCTACATAGCATTCTCATTTATGAGAATGCTTAATAGCATTTTCATAAAGTTTGTTAATAATTTATTTTCTACGCATATAATACTTTGTGTTTAACAAATTGTGTTAAAGATGATGGTTTAAATCATTTATTTTGAAAGTTTTTTTATTTTTAGATGGAGATTCATAATAAGAATTCGAATCTTCTTTGTAGAGTTTGCTGATATTTAGTTGGAAAAAAAAAGTACCCTATTGGAACAAACCAGAGAAATAAAATTGAAAAGGTGTTTCATGTCTTGCTATCAGATGAGATAGAGAATGTTCGTCCATCTAACATTTGTCAAAAATGTTATGATACATTAAACAATGTCAACAAACAAATGGTATCGATAACACTTCTTTTAAATATGAACTGAAAACCTCATTCTGATAAATGCTATTGTTGTTAACAGGCAGAAAAACTCAATAAAAGTGTGAATTTTACTAAATCAAGAAAAAGGAATAAAAGGCTTATTGGTCGCCCTGTTAACCAGGCTGGTGTTTATGAAAAAGTTTGGTTGTTTTCAATGATTGCTGACATTAAAAAAGCATTGTTGTACTACACGACTCAGAAATAAATGTTAAACAGCTAAAAAACGAGTTTAATCCACATTTACATCTTAGACAGTGTAATTTATGTAGTAAAATACCACAACAACCAGTAACTTACACTTATTTTACACTTGTTTTGTTTTTTTGTCTAGTATTAGTGTAGTAGTGGCTAAATTGAAAATTTACCAATCCATATACTAAGACATCTTGATCAATTTTAAAGGTGATTTAACAACTAATAATTTACAATTGTGTTTTAAATTTTTTTTTTTAATTTTGTGTCATCTTTCGTGTATATTATTTAAAAACTAAAACAAATGCTAATTTATTATTTTATTATATAATTATTTTATAATATACTAGTCACTTATTTAGTAAAATGTGTGGAGGCGAAGGATTACAGATTCGATTAAAAAGTAGCCATGTAGAGGTTTGAAAAGCAAATAGAAGATCTTCAAAAATGAACTATAAGTAAGTTACAAAAAAAAAAGTAGTTGTTTTAAATAATTATTTATTATTTATAGATGAACAAAATATTGTAAAGTAGAAATGTTTATCATAAATGTTATATAAACAATATTTGTAATATTTATAATAAAGCATAACAGTTATTAAAATAAATTATCATAAAAGCTCAGGCCTTTTTAAGGTTAAGCGATTTTAAGGAGAAAGCAATTTCAGTTAAGCAAAATTTTATTTTTAATTAAACATTTTTATGCTACAGTGATAACAGTATTAGAGTATTTGTTTTATGAGTTTTATTTGTGCACTATAAAATATTTCAGGAGCTGCAGGTGATTTTATATCTTTATAAATAATAATCTGTTATTTGTATCATTCAATGATTTTTGTATCATTCAATTTTAAATTCTTAAATTTATAGAATTTAATCACGATTTGTTAAACATTTATATGCTGATAAAAAATTTGAAAAATCTCGTACTTTGAGTAGCAACAATTTTAACGACTGGCGGGACTCCGGATAAAAATTAGGACTTCACATTCCGACTTCGCATCCCTGAATTGTATATATATATATATATATATATATATATATATATATATATATATATATATATATATATATATATATATATATATATATATATATATACATGTATATATATTTATATATATATACATATACATATATATATATATATATATATATATATATATATATATATATATATATATATATATATATATATATATATATATATATATATATATATATATATATATATATACATATATATATATAAATATATATACATATATATATATATATATATATTTTATATATATATATATATATATATATATATATATATATATATATATATATATATATATATATATATATATATATATATATATATAATACATATATATATATATATATATATATATATATATATATATATATATATATATATATATATATATATATATATATATATATATATATATATAACTTTTGTAATTAATCATTATTATTCAATTTGTAATTATTTCTTAATAAGAATTTCTTATCAATTTTATTTTAAGGGAGGCATCGTTGTTTTTTCTGTTGTGCGACAGCAAGTGAAATAAAATGTGGTAAACATGAAAATCTTAAAAAAAAGATCGTACCTTGGAAGATCAATTTTATGATCATAAAAATTTATGAAAAGTGGAGATTAATGAAAAATATTAAGAATTTTAATAATGTCATTAAAGAACCAATTTTGAAAATACCCCTTGATCAAGTAATGTTTTTTTTTTTTGTTATATTAACATTGCAGTATGGCTTGATAACAGTATCTTTTTAGTCATGTATCTTCGATATATAATTGTAGGTATCTTTACCTAGTCTCCACATGGCTCTTGGTGTTTATTAGAGTTTTTTTAATTTATTTGAAGAAGAAGTGCATCAGCTAGATTTTTTATTTACTGCAGAGACATCAAAAAGCAACACTAATTTTTTAGAAGAATATACAATTTTTGTGCTAAAACAAACCCAGCTGTTAAATCTTCAAGCTGAAATTCTTAAACTTGACGATCAAATCCATTCAATTAATGATGTTGTTTTGTTAGCTGCTGTTAACACTTGTTAACAAGTGTGAATGTATTTAAGGTACTTGTTTACAAGTTTTTGATCAAGGAATCTTGCAGTATACCTAAACTCACACACTTTGTGCGTGAGTTTAGGTGTACAGTTTGCAGATCAACATTCACTTATGTTAGTGATTTAAATGTCAATCCTTTATTACACAGATTAGTCTTGTTATTACTGAGTATACAATATTTTAATTTTTTTGGTTTATTTTATCCCTACTTTTTTTATTTTTTAAACAACTCTATATAATACTCTGTTTGGAAAGCAATCATTACCCGACGGGCATTTGTTTTTAAAAGTTACGTTCTAAATGTATTTTAAATGTCTTTTAAACGTCTTCTAAACATTCTTACGCAAAAAACGTTTAAAAGACATTTAAAATACATTTAGAACGTAACTTTTAAAAACAAATGCCCGTCCGGTAGGGTTGGATGAAAGTCCATGCACAAAAATGATCGAGACTATACTGCAAAAGCTGAAAAAACAAC